GAGCATAACGAACTTATAAGTTGTACTCTAGCACCTTCAACGCAGAAATGACAAAATAAGACAAAACAATTTTGTACAAGAAGTAATTGAAGTTCTTGACTATCAGTCTTACTGAAGTACCATTAAGGAAGATTCCTTGCAAAAGAACGACTATTCCAACACGAAATAAAGTGGTTTGTAACTAATGAGTTCAAAGTAAGTGAAAATAGTGCATAACATATATTTACAAGAAATACAAAAACATGTTTTAGTCGCATGAGATAGCTCAGTAAATCTTAGACATAAATGATTGTGTTCGATGAGCGTAAAATGGTTGGAAGTTTTGGTCTTTCCGGGCTCGATTAAAGAACCCTCAGCCGAGCACATGCGCAGTCTGAAAAAAAAATCGTCATTATAATCGTAGTAAATCGTCTTTCTGAGCCGCACCACACCAGATTTCGTCATCGTTCGTGCAAACAAGGCCAGCATCTAAGAGAGAAAAACAGAGAAAGAAGAGGGAACCGTAAGTAACCTTCGTCGTAAAGACAGTTAGAAATAACAAACTACTCTACGAGAGTATTCAATGTTCAACTTAGGTTAAGTAATAGTGCACGCATACGTGTTGTACGCAAGGAAAAGCACGAGGTTTCGCTTTTTCGGTTCGCCATGTTTTCGTCTTGCAAAATATTCTAACGGTTTGTAGTTAAACCGCCCGGAAAGCTAATCAAAACGCAGGATTTACTTCATATTACCCACGGGCGCTGGCAGCTATGCAATAAAGAATGATAAAATAATATCTGAAGAATCGCACAAGGAGATGCATATAGCTGGAACCAAAAGGAGGAAAAAAGACAAAAAAAACAAAGGCTACAACAAAAAGTATAACAAAATAAGCAAAGATGAAAGCAAATAACGAGAAGAAGGATACGAAATTCCGTTTAATTCAGCAAGTTCGTTGAAGTATCCATTCGTATGATCTACAGTCTTTTTGGCGGCAAGTTTAACAAGGAGCAGTAAATAAATTAAATATATACATGAATAAATACATTGGTGACCAATGAAGCAGATAAAAAAACACATTTTATTCATTTATTTACCCATTAATCGACCAAATTCAGTAGCACATGGAGGGCGTTATTCAGTTGGGCTTTCATTTCTATATGATAGCTTCAACTATCTTACCTTCTCACTCATGAGAAAGTCGTTTGCTTCTTGGAAGATGTACCTGGATGAGCCTTACATCCGATCCACGATGGCCCACGGCGACAAGTAAACTGTTCAGGCAAACGCCAAGACAAAAAGGTTCCTCTTCAATATCTAACGTAGTCAAATGTTCGCCTGAAATTACATCGTACATTCGAAGAAAGTTACCAACATCCTCCCTTGTACAGACTATCAACGCTTGGTTCGTAATAAATTTAACATCCACCACATAGTTCTTTTCGAGTAACTTGCGGTGTAATTTCCCTGAGGTTGCATTGTAGATCTTTACGACCTTTGAGGTCCGTAGAACCACGAAATCCCCTTTGGGAGAAAATAAGCCTCCTGGTAGTTTGCCTACCTTACCTTTCGGAGACGACCAAATTCTGCGAGGCGATGAAAACGAGGCGTCTGAAAGGTGAACAGCGTACTCCACTAATAATTCGCCTGTACGTTTACAGGCTATCATTTCGAATTTTTTGTTCATCGCAAGGACTCTCCACCCTCTTACATTTCCAATGATCTGGGAACGACCATCCGAGGTAGATAGGACAGCAGCGGTACCATCTTCGGTCAAACAAGCTACTTGTTCTTCTGATATAGGTAGCAACTGATTCCCTTGTAAGTTGCCCCACGGACGTTTACACTCCGTCAATTCAACGTCCCAAAGCTCCACTGTTTCGTCCAAAACAATAACACCATCTTTCACAGGCAAAATCGAAGGGAAATTCTCGTAGTTTTTTTCTGCTTTTAGATTCCAACTTGGAAATTCCCATACAGTCACTGTTGGTGGACTCGGACTCACCACATACACATTCTCACCATTAGTGGAGAAATCAACATTCAAAATCATAATGTCTAACTCTATATCGGCCTCTTGAATTTTAGCGAGATTTATCAAACTCACGTGTTGAAGATTTGGGCTACTTAATAATGCACGTTCGCTGTTTAACCTCATTAGCGATCCAGCTTTCCCGAAAGGAATAACATTCCGCAAGGCCGACGTCAAACTTCCTGTGGCATCTCCGTCGATGAAAGACCGATCACTCTCTTCGCAATCGAGTAAAAGTTTTTCACTGAAGTCACTCAAAATTCTTTGGGAAAATCTATTAGTAGTAATTCTGCAGCGAAAACGTCGACCACCAACTCTTTTCAAGCACAGACCAGCAAGAGCATCACTCTCCACGGAGAAAGTCATAAGTCCCCAAGGTGAATTTGTCGATATTGATCCTAACTCAGTTAGTTCATTCTGTAAATCAAACAGACATAGTGAGCCCGTGGAGTGGGAGACTGCCAGAAGATTTTTATCTGGAGAGCACTGAAAATAGATTATATCTTCATTTCTGGTAATGCGAGACATCTCTATCCCGGTATCCAGACTCCAAAAGACTAGGCATTTGGAACTGTTTGGACAGTCTGTAAGCATCGCGGTGTTGTCCCCTAATAATGTACACACAGAGAATCTACACTTACTCGTGCTGAAAAGCTCTTTCTTTTTCCCATCAATGGTATAAACTGTGGATAGGTTTCCAGGCAGTATATGTTTTCCATCTGGATGAAAGGCAACGGATCGATAAAATGAATACGTCCCAGAAAATGTTTCTTCTGCACCTAAAAGTCCTTCACGAAATGGAAGTTTGAAGTCATATTCCTTCACTAAGACAGGATTTCTCCATTCTATTTTACCCGTCTTCAGTGACCACAGCTGAATCTGTTCCTCATAACATTCACACACCATATAATCCTGGTCTGGTGAAATATCGAGACAAAGCACTTCTGATGAACATTGAAATTGATCTTCCACAACTGACTGCTGTTGATTCTTGTTGACCAGCTCCATATAGAATATTTCATCATATTTCTTATTCAAGAGTGTTTTAGCTTCTGAAGATGGCACTGATCTGCTCTCGTTCACCATAGTCTGTAAGATAACATGCGGAAGCTCCATCAGCGACCGACTTTTCTTACGTAGAATGGACAGCAACGTTTCCAGGGAAGCTTTCGTTTCTCCACTCAACGAGTTAAAGCTCTCTTCCTTTAGGACACAAACAATATCTTCCGTCGCCACTGTACTATTCACACACAGCTTTGCATAGACAAGCTCTTCGTTTATCACATACTTCCTCACAACGTCCTCAATGCCATCTCTTCTTGTATCCTCGTCGACCTCTAACATGTGTCGAACACCATGTTGTAAGGCATACCTTGTCTTGTCATTAAACTGTGCGTCACTCAGAGAATTCGCAACTCGTCTTTGCACCAGAATGTCAAATTCAGCAGCACAAAGTTCTGAAAGTAAACGATGGCCTTTTCTCTCGTCAACGAGGAAGTCGTGCACCTCGTAACAAAATTTATCTGTTAACCAATCTTTGATGGACTTGTGAAAAATGTGAAGACGGTCACCTCGAACGGGAAGAAGCGAAGAAACACTGCTTATAGCATTCAAAAGTCTCCGTTTACTAGCTGTTGCGGTAGTACTTGAAAGCAAGAGCCGAGAAGCAAAGTCGATAGGCAAGGGTTCTATCGATGCGGCAAGAGCAGAAAGGAAATTCAAAAAAGAATTTTCCTTGATGCCAAGCTCAGTCATGAGCTCACTCTCCAACCTTTTGAAATAGCGATGGTATACTGTAGAAATTCCTAACGGTAAGTTGCCCGTTTCGTCTCCTTGCCTAAGAACTGATGGATTCTCTTCGATGTATAAAAGAAGAAAGTAAGCATACAACATGAGCCCTTCCGACTTTTCAACTAGAATTTCCACAATGTCATTCGTGTTTTCTGCTTCTGGTATGCATTCTAATTTCTTTCCAATGAAGCGCTTGATGTCATTTCGATTTTGCTCATCCTCTGCTTCCAGCTGAAACGGTTGCAAATGTCTTAATGTTTTTGCAATGTTCCTCTCGGGTCGGCTTGTGACAAGAAATCGAATCCACATTGGAAGCTTGCAAAAGTGATTGGCAATGACTTCAAGTAACTCATTCCGATCGCGATAGTCACTTTCATCCAGGCCATCTATCACTATTAGCATGTTCCTTCCAGGGTCCTCTACGCTGCTGAGAGGCTCTTTAAAGAGAAGGGCGAATAACTCCTCAACCCCCATATTGTTGAGATCCTTACCCGTATTTCTTGACAATTTCTCTACAAGAGCTAGCTTAAACTCTGGCAGAGCATGGCACATATGACAGGCCAAGGATTGAAGCATTAACTGAGGCTTCCGGTAACGGACGTTGTTATGTTGAATGAAGTGACTTCCGCATAGACGGCAATCCTTTTGCATTCGTTGGCAAACAACGGCGGAAATGACAGATTTCCCCATTCCTGCGTTTCCGCATATGACCATCACACGGTTTTGAGAGTTTCTGTCGTCTAACCAGTTTTTGACTTTGCTAAACACCCACTCACGGGTGTCTTCTTGAAAAAGTTGGACGTAAAGCTCGATGTCTCCTTTGAATTCAGACTTAACGAGGTTCCTCAGGACCTCATCTCCTTGGCTGCCTGAGTTTCTTCCTTTGCTAAGTTCTCCAACGGCTACCTTCATTTCCTGTACATCTTTTTGCAAACTTTCCAAACGCTCGTCTTGGCTTTTAGCAGCGCCCTGAATGGTGCTTTGTATTTTCGTCTGAGTCTGATGCACTTTTCCTAGCACTGACTTGCTATCTTGAAGCATTTTGTGATCTTCTAGTTGGGTTTGACGTACCTCTCCAATACTACGCTGTGTTGTGCTCTGAGATCGACGCAGTTTCGTCAAATGAGATTTGATTTCTTTTTCACTTTGAAACCATTTCATCAAAACGTCAAGATAATCTTCCGCGCCACACTTTTCTTCTTTCAGTTTATCGATTTCCTTTTGATCCAACCCAAGAGCAACCAGAGCAACACTAATTTCTTCCCATAGTGAGGAGAAAGTGGGCTCGTCAAAGCTAGTGCTGGTGATGTGGCCATGCACGTCATTGCGGAAGAACTTCACACGGGCAAGATTTGCTTCAAGAGAGTTGTCATCCGGAGATGGCTTTGAATGCCACCCTGAAGGAGGAGGAGAAAGTTCGCAAATGTTGGTGAGAAGGAGAAATAAGAGAGTGATATCAAAAGTCTGAGAGTCTGGTGCTGCTCCGTCAGGTGGGAATAGTTTGTCCCACTGAGCTGCACGCAGAACCTTTTTCCTACGGAGAGAATTCAGGGTAAAAGAGTAGGCGTTAAGTCCAGCAGACAGCATTGCCGGTGGGTGATAGCTATTAAAGATGATCCTCAACACTGTTGTTCCACCATCGATGAGAAGTCTGCTCAACTTGGATCCATATGTCTTCTGTAGGGAGCTGGCTAAGGGCAAAGGTGCGGAAGCTGACATGTTGTTCAAGAGTACTGCGAACTAATCCTCAAAAGGTACCCGTGGGGCAAAAGCGATAATCCACGTTCTTTGTGGACCATGAAAAAAATAATAAAAAGAATGATTAAACCGCTAAGGAATTTCTGGTCAATTTCAAAAAGCTGCTAAAATAATGTACATGGCATAATGATAGTAAAACCAACATTTATGATAATACTGATGATATTTTAAGTTAAAATAGCATAAAAACGATGATACTCTATTCGTAACCACCATCCCTGACATTTTGAGATTTTTTTTCATCCCAAATCTATACAACCAAATAAATGTTCATAACCCAACAGTCGTGATATGTATTTGATTGCTACATCTAATACCTTTCAGACAACCCTCTTTAATGGACTCCTCTCTACATATTTGAGCAAAGTATCAAGAGACAGACTTTACATTGTACTTTCCCATTGTTTGGTTACCAGGAAGTTAAAAATCCTCCACCATTTAACCACCAAGGGTGACTGGCATCTAATCTCTCCATACAGAATCACCCTTGAATCAAATGTGGAGGTCATGATAATAAAGGAGATGATCACCAATTTCAGAAGCTACAGAATGGTAAACCAATTCTCCTTGTCAGTACTATAGAAAATGTACAGAGAACAGTATGGAGAATACACACACTGATGTTAGGGTTAAGAGGAATAATAGCATTATGGCAGGTTTAAGTTTTTTCTCCACCAGGGCAAGATTTTCTAAACATTAACATGGATCTACATCTTAAGCCCTACATGTAGTTGTGATCATTTTCAATGGAATAATCAAAACCAACTAAAAGACAACACCTAGAATTTACAATCCTTTTTCCTCAATTAGCATTTTTATAAATATAATCTACATCAAAGCGATAACAAGTCTTTTTTCATGATCAGAGAAGGACTAATTCATGTTCCTGTTGTCCTAAGCATCGATATCACTATCATCATCAACATCATCATCACTGAGAAAAGTCTCATGTCACATTACATGTACATCTAACATTTTACCTTTTGAGGACTTCACCTGGCACCCGATTACGAAAAAGTTATATATGACTGTTTGGGATTTCTGAAGAGTTAAAAAAACAAAATCATCTTAATTACCCTTCTAGAATTGATATAGATACATATAAAGAAGATAGTTAACCTATAAAGGACACTTGAGTTTGATGAATATGAAATGATGATTCAGCTATTGGCTATCCATCATGTCCCAAAATGGTACACGGTAGATTGCAAGATGCAAGTGAAATTACTTGCAATTAAGACCACATAAGGTTAACCTAACTGCGTTTGGCAGAAAGCCTCTTTATGCACCAGTATTTATGACTCTTGAATTCAGATGCATTTCATTTTAATAATAAAATTGTTTCTCATTAACTTTTAAGGCAGTTAGGAGAGAGTTCTGTTAATTGAATTAAGATGTGAGTTTTAAAACTGAGCTGAGCCATGCAGTACATTCTGCCCCTGCTTGGAATGCACTATGCCCAGAAAAGCAGGGATCACTACCTTGAAGAGTGACTCTGCATTTGGTAGGTTTAAAGGTAAAGTCTACACTCAAGCTAATTATATAGCCAGTCCAGCAAGAGCTTATCCAGGTTTCTATCGCATGAGGCAACTAGGAGTATTACCACTCCCCCCTGGATGGAATGCTAGATTATGCAAGATACCCTTAGCTGTTTAAACCATGTCAGTCAGACACAACAGCAAAAGAAATTTCTACACCTGCAGTTATGCATGACATCTCATTCATACTCCCATGAGTGAATTCCTTGGCTTTTTTTAAGGATCCCCAAAGATTGAAAAATGCTCAGTAGTACCAGGCCTTTAGCAATTTGTCAGAAAAGATAATGTGACTTAAGCAGCCTACATCTGTAGATCTCTTAATCCACACAAGGAGAAGAGATTCAAGGAACTTGTTTCAATTATCACTCATTTTCTAAAATTATAGTTATACTTGATCAAATTAATTCTAAGAGCAGGTTTTCATGATGACTCAACAGAGTAAGAAAAGGAAGTGAACAAATACATTATCATATCCCCTTCAAAAGTTTGGAGCCAAACAGAACCTAAGGATTTAAGGCTAGCTACAGAAAAACCTGGACACATAGTCCTAGGTTTTTCCAAGTTAGCCTCCATAGGTTCCAATATAGATGGTGTTTCCTGTGAAAATAGGCTACCTAGGTTCTTCACCATGTTCTTAATTAAAACAAAAAAACAAACAAACAAGCAACTTGTATTGGAAGGTGTGGGTGTGATACAGTAAAAACCTGCATAAAAGAACAAGTAGATTAAGAACACCCAGGCTGAAATTTGGTCAAAAAAGTTCAATATACATAAGAACACGTTCAACCTGAAAAATTAATATTGTTCTTGTACAAAGAAATTGGCTGCCAGTTAAATTAGAATAACCTTCTAGGGTACAGTATTACCCTAAGTAGATCAATATATGTGCTGAGCCATTGCACACATAGAGTTTCACAGCAGGTATGGGAATTTCCAGGGTACATTTAACAATTGTTTTTAGACTTGGTTAATTTATGTTACTAAATGACTGTTATCTTCTGTCAGTCACATTGATTTCGTTTTTTGCTGCAGACACAACATGCTGACATGAAATCATAAAAGACAATTAAACTGAGCAGCGTCACAGATAACCCTTTAACCCCTAGGAGTGACTAACATCTAATTTCTCCTAACAATATCTCCCCTGAATCACACACTAAGGTCATGAGAATTAAGGAAATGATCAAAAACAACAGAAGCTCTGGATCTTTATACTAATTCTCCTTGTCAGCACCTCAGGAAATGTATAGAGAACAGTATGGAGAATATGCATACTGATGTTAGGGTGTAAGGGGTCAAATGCAAACACTGCAATAGATCATTAACAGATCAACAATATCTGGGCAGCCATGTTCAATTCAAGCACCCAGCCTCTGCCACACAGAACTTGAACAACAACAGCTCAGCATGTAGAAATACATATACATTGACTATTTTTGTAAACATCAACAACCACTCAGGTGAAACAAACATGCAGAGAATGGCTAAGAGTCATCAGCTTGAGGATGTGCCATGTGAATTGGCTGGTGCTGCACAAAGTCAAACTCAAAGGTGAAGTAAGAAGCAAAAGTCCTACACTGTTGATTTCAAAAAGAAAACACTAGATCTTTTGGATCCACTGAAACCAACAACAAATAATTACAACACAGTTGCAAAGTAACAAGGAGTCAAAAATCAGTGGTGTTTAAGTGGGAAAAGACAAAAGCAAAATTCTGGCAGAGCTGACTTTGAACAAGACAAAGAACACAGGTGCACAAGGCCAATGAGACAAAGTAGAAGGATAACTGGGAAAAGATCTCAACACAATGATAAATATCCACTGGCTTTCAACCTTTTAGTTGCCAAGTTTAAACTACAGAGAACAGCAGGAAGCAAAGTTTCCAAACTTTGACATAAAATAAAAGAATGAAATCGAAAATTGAAGCATGCTATGATGCAGAAGAAGCTGCAAAATTTAAGGGGAAGCAGCCACTGGTTCCAGAGATTCAAGAAAAATGCAAAATGGTACCGAGAAAGACCAACAAGAAGAACAAGTCCTCTCCAGTTGACATCAAGCATATTAGATGGATGCATAAAAATAGATACAAAATTAATATTGACCAGGTTCCTCTCCCATTTGTAAATGAGCATTATAAAATAATTCAAATAGTATGCGCGCTCTGATTGGCCATAAAACCATTTTACATGAGTGTACATAGACACGGTTTTCGTTCCTCTTTCATTGGTTATTTCATAAAAGAAATGTAAAATGGTTCTGTGTTTACATAGCCTGATGTAAACACTTGGGAGGTTGGGAGAACACTCGATAAGCTGGAAACCACTCCACTTTGCGTCATGGTTTCCTATGCTTATCTCATGTTCTCCCAACCTCCTGCGTGTTTACATCAGGCTATGTAAACATGGAAACCATTTTACATTTCTTCAATATAAAACCTACAACACATTGGGTCCTAAGCCAGTGAGGGTGCCACAACCATCACCTGGTTTAGATAAACAACAGGCTACTCTACAACTTTGTACTAGGGCTGATGGGGAACAAAAAGTGAAGCCACCTCTTATCTTAAGAGAAAAAGGGTGTGGCCACTGAGGAGGAAGAAAAATATGACAAGAGGGTTGATATGTATTTCCAGTAAACTGCCTGGATGGATGAAGACATTAACATGCAGTGGGTCCAGGGCACACTTATTCCAGGAATTGGGAATGACAAAGAAGACAAAGTTCTATTTTGCTTCCAACAAAGTCAAACATTCCACAAAATATACAGAAATCAGATCAATGCTACAGTTTACTTGCTGCCTGAAAATCACACTGACAAAATCCAGCCCATTGATGCACCATGTGGTTGGATGATGAAAGTTGAAATCGGTGCAGTAATAGAAACATGGCTGGAAGAGGAGAACAATCTCGATAAATGGCAGGATAGACTTTCAGCAAAGGTAGCAGGATCTGGATGACCCAATGGGTTAGGAAGGCGTGGAGTGAGTTGAGTAACCATGAGACCTTTTTCAAGATTATTTAAGAAAACTGGCTGTTTGCTAAGTCAGCAAATGGGTCTGATGATATAAAGATCTCAACCCAAGGTTTAAAAAATTATCATATTTAAATGGATCTGATAATTGGACTGGAAATTTAGTAAACTAGATGCTGTCATTTTGCTCTCTCAGTTTGCTAATGTAGTATTGGGGACCAGTCAATAGTTACATGAAAAGAGAGAAGGGGAGCTGGTGCATTTCAAATTTGCTTGACTTTTGTTGAGTTTTGAGTTGTTTATCACCAGAACTGCTACCCCTCCCCCAACATAATATTATTGTTTTGATTAATGCAGTTAAGGTTAGTTCCGTCCATAAATTAATTAAAATGTTGTATTTGCACATTGATTTCATCTGTTGATAGTCTATGCAGTATAAAATTTTTGTAAACAAT